TCCATTCTGAAAACTAATTACTTCATTGATTATGTATCTTTTGAACTTTTCTTAGTTATTGGTGACTTCCTGAAAGCAGAAAATTTTCCTAGCAAATGAATCACTGAAGCTTACCAGGCTGCAAAATTTAGGGACAGGAGATCACCTTTTAAATAGTTCAAATTTTGACCAGATCTGTGTACATGGTTAAATCTCTGCTTCTAGGACTGTGTTCTGAAATTTTAAATGGCGATGGGTAGGTTTTGGTCTCTTACTCTTGGAGGTATTTGACTTAAGAAATGAAGAGAGAATGATTCTCAAAACACAACTACCCCTGTGGTTCTGTAAATTAAACCATTTAAAGATATAAACCTAAAACTGAAGCCACCTAAACCCAAGGCTTTTGAAAATGTTACCCAAATCATCTGAGATCTGCAAGGCACTTCCTGTTTGTACACAGACTCAAATGTTTATAGAAGTGAATAAAGGGTGAAATGAGGATGGAGCAGGGATCTTTCCACATGAGGTTATTTCTTCTTTGTATCAACTAGGAGAATGAAAAGTTCTCTGAAAGCCCTATGACATTTCAGAGAAAGAGGCAGTTTCCCAGAAGTTCTGCGAATATCCTGACCTTCATAGTGCTAGCATTTCTACATCACCCTACACACAATGGCCAAAAAGTGTAATGCAAACACTGGTCAGTCTCGGCCGTGCTCCACTCTGACCCACTTGGTCTTTGTCACAACTATCCTGGAGGATCAGTGCTCACCATCTGTTTATTCACACTGCACAGCAAGCTCTGTGTGCCCACACTAACCCTACATCCACCCATTCCTTGTAGTAGCACCTCTAGAGACATCCCAGAGTCCATAGCTTATAACAAACCTCAAATGAAATGGGGGGGGGCGTGCTTGACTGTTTCTCTAGGTGCCCTACCAGCACACAAATGGTTCAGCCCACAGCCTTCCTGCAAGACTAATGTAAATGATAATAGTCCCTAAATTCCAAACTGTATCCAACCATGTAAGCAATTTAAAAAAAAAAAAGGAACAGTATTTGGAGTACTGCTCAGCCAAGAATCTGAATTAACCTCACGTTTAATACGTTACCTTAGTGACAAAGCTATATTCTTCTGACCCCTGTGCAGTCCTTTGCTCTAGTTTGGGAACAAAAGCACAAAACCTTAAACTGAACAGGTGGTAGAAGACAGCATCACGCATTTTTATGGACCTTCCATATGTCCTTTCCAACATGCAGTAAGATAAATTTTCTTTTCACTTACATTCAAACAGTCCCACCCAAATCTCATGGTTTAGTACCATAATCCATAGCAAAATTCATCTGTGAAAATCATGCTGTCCATGATGCATCCATTTTTCAAAATTAAAAAAAAAAAAATTAAAAAAACCCCAATGGCCTGTCCAAGTGTCACAGATTTTTGCCAATTCTCATCTCTTGTTTAACTCAAACATATATGCCCTGAGTCACCTTGGCAGTCTACCCATGGATTTGTATCCCGAATGGCTTCTTCCTTTATCTCAGTTTCTCCAGTCCTAAAATAATGGTAGTGATACATACCTGACTCCTAAGTTGTGACATGAAGCTTAATCCATTCAGTGCTCTTCAGAACCAGAAGAGTCTTACAGATGTCACAGAGCAATACTGACCAGCACGTTTGGGTATTTCTGCTTGCAATAGGGACTTTTAATATTATTCCAAAATGAGCACACATGCAAGACGTGTTCAGACTTCTGTATTTAAAATAATGTTCTCTCAGGAATGTCAAAGCTTAAAATCTAAGCAATAATTGCTCTATAAGTGCATGCTAATGGCTTGCTTCGTAGATGGAAAATAAAATTGTAAGCACAGGGTTGACACTGGTTTTTTTCTTTCAAAAATACTTACAAAAGCCAGGATTTCTCTGTATATGTGACCTTGATTCCTAGATGGCACATGAACTACTTAGAGATCATGTTACTAAGTTGTTTGCAGTTAAAGGGGAAAAAAAGGCTAAAATTAATGGGTCACTGAGTATTTTCTTCTGAGAACTTAAGTACTTAACAGTAAGAAAAAAACAGTTTACAGCCAGGTGGCTTGAGGGGATATTTTGTTGAACACTGATTAAAAATAATTTCTTCTAAATGAGACCTGACCACAAAATGGGACCATTAACAAGCAGGGACATTCTCACCAGAAAGGAAACTACGCCTGATCAACTCCTGCACCGCCCACAAACCCCAGGTCTTTTTCTCTCTCTCTCTCTCTCACACTATTTTTTTTTTTCCCCGTTTTTCTCCTCTCCCCTTTTCTTGTTCTTAATAGCAGCGTAAATAAGCAGCAAGTGATGCTGAAATGTTTTCGGCCAAAAACAGAGGCCAAACTCCTCTGAGAAAACATTTGGCCTCTGTGGTTTTGTAATATGTTCCAGAACACTGAGTTCACTGAAGAACATTGTGAAAAACTCCCATCGGCTGGAGTGATGCTGGGGAATGTTACTGTATCCCAACTTCCAATTGGTCCATTTCCTGCAGGCCTTGTTAAAAAAAAAAAAAAAAAAAAAATACTATGTGGGAGTTAAAACAAGTTCTCATGGGAAAAATGAATGGCAAGAAATTCTAGCTTTAAAAGAAACAGCTAATCTGCTAGCTTGATTGTTCTTCAAAACTTACAATGAACCAATAATCCTAATTAAAAACACTTGGCCTAGTTCTCTAAAGCATCATAGCTTTTTCTATGCTTCGTTTGTACACACCATAGACTATTAGTTTTTTTCTAGTGCTCACTAACAAAGTGCTGACTTTGTTGGGATGGCTGAGCTAATTTCGTGAACTCAGTGTGAAACCTTAGCTAAACAAAATTGTGGTAATTTTCCTTAATTTGTAAAAGTGATTGGAGTGCAAACAAAATTTTCCTCTTGGGTCAATCCTATAATTTTCAATTAACTAAAACTAATCGGCAGGCGTGTACTGAACCTGCATTTTGTTTAAAGGGCTGGAAGGCACTTCTGAAGGTCAGGATGGATTAATTGTTTTTATTTTAGTTTCATTTAGTCCTTTTTAAAAAGCCACATTTAAGTTCAGGCTGCCTCTAAAAGGAAAATGCAAATTGTGTGAGGTACGATTTCAGTCACAATAGCTTTTCTGTATCTACCGTAACTCCATAAAAGCTGCATAAGTGGGAGAATTGTCCATGGATCACCTTTGATTTTATCACTGTTGTTTAGTATTTCCTAACTTTCATTTATTGAATGGAAAATAATGTGTTTTAAACATTAACCTGAAAATGCATATACGGAAACACTCTCCCTACTGGGACACCTTATTTCCACATTCAGCCATCTGCTTCTGGGCAGACAGGCTAAACTGCTGCCCTCCTTTTTACTGGAAAAGCTAATTAATGATGATCTAAGAAGCAAAAGCAAAATGAGTCTAAGCTATTTTTACATTTCAATTGCAAAATGAGGTCCCCAAAAATTTCTTCCCAAAGTTAAGGGGGGCAGGCTTTCTCCCTTTTTTCTGCTAATTCTGCACGCATACTTGCTGTTTCACCAGCCCAAGGTGCAGCCACTCCCCCGGTGGCTTGACAACAAGCAGGACAGCACAACTTATTTTGAGTAGGAAAGTGAGAAGGGAAAGGATTCACGGTCAAACTGTCCAGAGCTCTGGCTGACACTTTCATGTGGTATACACTAGCAATTTGCACCAGCTGGTAATGTGACCCTTCACTTTTTCTTTGTTCTAACACATTCAAACCCTAAAAAACTTTTTTGATATGGTGCATTACTGTCCAATATATGAATTTCCCACATATTGTTGAAATCATAATGCTCACAATAAATACACACAGCTTCCACAAGCGCCTGCTGCTCAGCCAGCAAGGCAGTACATGAATACTTTAAGACCCATCTTAAAGAAACCCAGTGCATAATCCCAACTGGGGGAGAGGGTATTTGAAAAAGACAACAAAGCTTTATAGGGCACCTTTGTTCAACTTGCTTAGCGTTAAGAAAAATGAAATGAGATGCTACCCAGCTGGAGGCACAGAAGTCTCTCCTCTGCCTCGAGTTCCTGTGTGTACAGTCACAGTTGGAGCAATATATCTGCCCAGTGTAATCCAGAACGCCTCATAGCCACAAGTCTTTATGATATCTTATTCTTAAAGTTTCAGGGGCAATCAAGAATGGGGAAAGGAATGATTGTGATGAACCACAGTTCAGGCAGTTACACTAGTCCTGTCTGCCTATGTTGTACAACAAGCACATAAAATGACAACATCAAAACCTGGACCAAGACATTAACTCTTGTAGCATCCTTCCAAGGAGCCAATGACATGCATTCTTTTTGAAAAGTTAGGCTGCTACTTGATTTACTTCCCAGGACATTCTTATCACTCCTGAGAGTGGTTTAACACTGACAACATGATTTTTTGCTAATAATTCTTCAGGCCAAACCATTTGACTTAGTGGTCTTAGAGTGGGATGCCACCCCAAGACACACTGTAAGTCACTATGTCTGCAGCATTGGCTGGGGTGAAAGCTACTTAGCCTTCCTGGAAGTCAGAGACAAGTATGTTAAGGTGAGATGGGCAAGCAAAGAGGCTGCTGATTTGTACACTTGCAACTCTTGCCAGACAACATGAGATGGAGATGTTTAGCAAGACGCTTCTTGGAAGGCAGGGTTGTGATTGCACTAGTATGTCTGGCTCTTCATGCTTGTGCTTTTCCTCTGTTTGTTTAAGTATTGGAGTATCTTTTTCTCTCCTTCCCCTCCTTTCCAGGGTAAAGACATGTCCCATTGTGAGGACAAACAAGCAAACAAAAATCCCACACTGGTATGCTTTCGGATTCATCTCTGCAGTCATCTATTTCTGCAATCCAGACAAACTGGTAACTTCAATGACATGCTCAGCCAAAATAATAAAATACAGTACGCCTTTTAATGACGAAAGCAGAAGCCCTAGCAAGTGTGATATATAGCCTGCCCTATTTCTCCATCTTTTACCTAGTACTAAAGCATCCTTACCTGTGTAAATGAATCGTCCAGGCGTTCCCTTGCAAAACTGCTTAGATTTGTAGGACAATGTGACTTCTACAACCCCTGGGATATGTCGGGGTGGTGTCTGTACGCGGATGGCATGAGGAGTAATCAGCTAGAGAAAAACATTGAGAAGGGAGAAGAAAGGGGGGAAAAAAAAGCACTGTTAGATGCTGAACACTTCTTTAATAACACTTTCCTCTCAGATCACAGTAAACAAGCTTTGAAACATGTAATTAACCTGTCAGTGTTTGAATACAATCTTGATGTAACCCACACAAAAGCCAGTGACTACAATATTTACAAGCATTCTCCTCCTCAGCCATAACAACATTATTTCTGTTTTCATACATGGCAGGCACTTGATTCCTAGTACGAGCATCAGCCCTGGTTTAATGGTTTAACTTCAGCTTGCAGCAGCAGGATGCCTATGCTTGCTCAGGTGAACACTGGGGTCATGGCAGTGTCCACCAAATCAGATTGATAACGATACGCAGTTACACGTGTGAACACGGCAGAGCCCGAGCAGAGGGAGACTCGTCTCCAGGTGACATCTGTGCAATGGAAAACACCACGTGCTCCTGGTTTAATTTCTATTCATTTTCTGGAGGTAAAACTGATTACGGCAGAAATGCAAAGTTTGGTTTCTGAAGGATGCTGGATCTTTCCTTGCAAATGATCAGGGCACTTGAGAAAGATATAACAGCTATAACCATCTAGCCATCACTTCTAGCCTGCCTTCACTGCAATGGCTCACACATTGGAGAGGGCTCCTGCAGATGTGGATATACAGAGCAGTACGCAGACAAACAAACGTTAATAGGGTTGGGGATCCCAATCCTCTTAACACAAAAGTTTGGGGTGAATAAGTCCTTCACTTTCCAGGCTCTAGACCATTTGTGCTCTCTCAAGATCCTGGCCTGGTTTTAAAGCATAGCCCCTGAAATTAATATTAGAGTCATCTAGGAGCTCACTAATTTATGGCAGGTTAACTCAAATCTCTGCTGCAATCAGAAACTACAGAATTGTCCTCGCCATCACTGAAACGTCGTCACTCATCATGCTCCCTCAGACAAGAACAGTAAAAAGATGTACGGAGAAAAGCTGACATGATTGTGTCCAGCACCAGGATACAGCTCTGGCACACAGATAATCCCTCTCTGACTGACTGTGGCACACTAATGCACTTCTAGAGAGGCAAAGACGACCAAGACCATAACCAGCCTTGACAACAGGCAAAGCCATGGGCACCCTATACAGGCAGTAAACTGCTCTATGCTGCTGGTTGAATCGTGTCCTGGATTAGGCAATACATTTCAGTAGATTTATTTCTTTATATAAAAATGTTAATTTTATTCTTTTACTAGGAACCAAATATTTAAAAACTGTAGTAAGGTCCTACCAAAAAAATCAGACTTTTAACCAGTCCTTTGTTTAGGGACAGGACTAAAAAAGCACAGAAGAAAGTAATGTCTGTCTGAGAGCCATCTGTGCTACTGAAAGCAATGGCATACACAGTATAAAGTTCTGCATATTTAAAATAAGAAAATTAATATTAAATAGAGTTGAAGATTAAACCCAAAACTACCAGCTTCAAATGCTCCAAAAGTTATTCAGATCCACAGAAGTCATAAATCACATGTGACTTTAGAAATTATCATGTAGGAATTGATGCCGCGTTCTTTCTAAGCTCCAAAAAACGTTTTCAGTCTCTGCTTTGAAGTCATGTGATTTAAAAACCTACTTATTTTCAAAAGAAACCTGACTTTTTTTTTTTAAATTACTCTATCAATTGTGAACAAACAAACAAAAAACACCAAAACCCAAACTTCCAAAGATTGCTTTTACTTAAATTTAGTTGTTTTACAGCTGGGCTGACCAAAGCCTAGAAGTCTATACCAATTCTCTACATGCCTTCCATAGTCAGCGGAGGCAGAAAGCACTGCCAAACAGCAATGTATTTCCAGTGCTTTAGACACTCACGTTGGGATGAGCTGCTCTCTGGAAGCATCTACCTTTCTCCAATGAATCGAGATGACAAGTTTAGACTAGATGATTAGTGCTAAACATAGCTGAGATAAATCCCATCCTCAAGTGGTTTTAGTTAACTGGGTGAACTGGCAAGATGAGAGCAGCTTCATGACATTTTCAGGGGGGAAAATATTTGTAAAAACAGCCAAGGATTTTAATAGTAAAGGTTAACATGCTAGTCTTACTACATCAGCATGTGTCTTGCACCCCTCACCCCCATTCTGGCATGAGCTATACAGGCAGCTTCTGGTTGTATCTTTGAATTTCCCAGCATTTACTGGTCTGTCACCACTTTAATGTTCTTTAAACATAATTTGTGGCATTTTCCAATACTCATCTTCCCTGGTTCCCAAGAAATGTCTGACCTATTTATGGTCCATTGTTACAGAGAGCTGGGGAGAGTTAAGCAAGTTTCCTGGTTTGTTCTCCACAAACAGTTTGGTTTTCCTTTGTGCTCTGAAGTAAATAAGTTTAACTGTGTTTAAAACCACAAATATACAATAATGTCGCCCACACATTCCCAAAGGGTGAACATTATGTCTGAAGTCCTATGGTTTAGGATACCCAGGGTATATTTTACTCCTCTTCTCTAGAACCAAAGCCTGGGAGGTATACCAGGAGAATACATGTGTCTTTCCCTTTTGCTTTTTCTCCTTAGCATCTGCTGGCAGGGTTATAGTGCTGAGTTAGAAGGACCTTTGCTCTGGGTCAGCCTTCAGTTCTCACGGACACAGAAGGCATTGGCTAGCACAGTTACATACCAGTAGTCCCCTGTATTGTAATATCAAAAAATTGTCTTTAAGGTACAAATAATGTCACTGCACTTCAAAACCTGCCCTGCGAACCTCACCTTTGCTCTTGAATTCTGATTCCCTAGTGCTGCTAGGATCTGTGCTACTGACCAGGACAAGCTCTCCAAATTGCACTCCCTCTGTTTTGCAATCTGAGTGACCCAATGGGTGCTGCACAGGTCTGGGTACTCCAGGCCCACCCACAGAAAGAGAAAATCTGTCCTTGACTTCAATAATTCCAGTATTATGGGATGTTTTCCTATCTACGCTGTCAACCTGTGGCCTGACCTTGGGAATACACTCCACGTTTTCCAAGTTTTCTCCTCTCTGACATAGCACACACCTTCTTCAAGGCACAGTCTGTCTCATATTTGCACATGAAGCATCTGGAAAAAGTGAGCTATTATCATCAAGGGATATTAAAAATAAAGACACCTCTTGTGGAAGCCCCTGACCCCCAAACTGTTGGATGTTGGCAGAGTGTCCTGGGGAAGCATTACTACATGCTCACCCTGTTGTTTTTATAGACATCTGGCATTACCCAGCACCACAAACAAGACACTGAGCTAGATGAACCTCCATGTCCAACCCCACATGGTCTATGTTCTAACGTCAGGTTGGAACTCTCTGTGTGTTAATGGACATCATAATGACCGCAGCAATGACATGCCAAGGACTAAGAAATTGAAAATATGAGTTACGTACTTTTCTGAACACATTTTAAAAATATAAATCTTGAGCAAGGCATTAACCTGTGATTTGGAGATGAACCCACCACCCAAAATCCCAGATCCAGCTTCCTCTTCCACTCTAGTATTTGGCCAATTGAGATTTGGAGCAGGCCATAAGACTAGTAACTGGACTCTTTCTGTCAAGGGATTTCAAGTGAATTGGTCTCATACTTGGCAACTCCACTAGCTGTTTGATATACTGTTACATGTCAGTTGGGACATGCAGTTGATTGCATTAAAACCCAAGTTAGAGACCTTCAGAATGAAGGGAGGTGCTTGTCCTTCAAAATCCAAAGCACATTTGGTCTGAGCTTCTTTTTGTGGTTTGCTGATATATTCTAGACATTCTTGTGTGATACACCATCATTTCACACTCCTCGGAGTGCCAGGTTACTTTCTTTTTTTAAAAGTGACATTTTATAAGGAGATGTCATTAATCTGAGTCACTAGTTTATTTTTGCATGCTTGAGCTCTGGTTTGTGGTTTGGGAAATAGTGACAATCAGTCATAAACTTGGACCCTGTGTGAAGAGGACCATTAGGGCAGGAATGAAGAAAAATCCCACCAACTGAAGGTAATGACAGCTTTCTGTGAGAACAGGCCCCTTAAGATACCTATATTTTTAAAAATGACCAGTGACTTTGCATGCCTCAATTCTCGGCATCCAGATGCTGCTTAATAAGCCTTGGTTTTCAAAAAGAGGGTGCCTACTCATTTTTTTAAAAATGAGTCAGACCTCCAAAATAAGCACTCAGAAACAGAGACTTCCAAAATCAATAATAAACATAAAAAGCAAAATAAAAAACTGTGTCACAGAATTTGATTCAGCAGCATTAAAAAAAAAAAGCGCCAAACCAAAAGTCATCCCTGTTTTTGTGCTGTACAAAGGTAAAAGAACTGATGTTTCAGTGCTTCATCTTTTCTTAGTATAAAAGAAAAATAAGTTGTTTCCAGCTGACTCTACAGCTGGAGGAATGTTCTTGGCAGGAACACGTTTGAAGAAATAGTTCATTTTAAGCAAATATTGTGGAATATTTATAAGAAACTAATTTTGTCTTCACAATCGTGTATTTGCCCTGAATCTCGACTCTTGGAGTTTCAGCCCCTTGATAAGAGAGGGAAACAGCAGAGGATTTTTATCAGCAGCACAGGTTTTGAATATTTGCAACAACACAGAGACACAGAACGCTGGGTAAAAACCCACAAATAACAACTCCATCTGCTCGTGGACTGGACAAACAGAAAGGCAGAGTCTGTCTAGCAAACAGACTATTCGCTGGGAGTTGTCTGTCCAGATTCAGCCTGTGCACATGAGACATCAATGCCGTTTGTTCGTCGGTTATGAAAGTCCCTTGAATGAAAGGCATTAGATGGCCCATTTTGCTGTATTCTAAAAATATCAAGGGCTTTCAAAGTCATTTTTATAAAGTAATATGGGAGTTAAGGATTAATTGAACGTACTGGCTTAGGATATCTACATTTCTGCACAAAATTAATGTGACAAATTAAGTTTTTATTTAGTTCTCCCTGGCTGAGAAAGGTTGTAATTATGTTAGAGTGTTTACAGCTAAAATATATGTTTAAATAATAAATATGTGTTTCAGAAACCATTTTAAACCTTCTTTTTTAACACGGTCAACTCCATTTCAAGCATATGAATATTTCAATTATAAAACTTGAATACATGTAAAATAAATTAAAAATATATTATTTACATTTCAAATTATTTATAACATATACTGCTTGACAGCAACAAATTCACCCTTAAAATGACCAATATTTTTTTGGCTTTTAACTTTGCTTCTCAGCTGTGGTAAGATTTATATTTTAAATACCCATGTATCTCAGGTACTTACATGGATTTTTGCTATAATAAAATCTGAGTAATATAGGACCTTTAAGATAATTATCTTCACAGTACCTCTCGAAAGAAGGTGGCTAATCTTATTACTATGTTAGAGAAAGGGAATTGAACTTTAAGCAGATTATGTGATTTGTCCAAGGTCCCATGCAAAGTCCGTGGCAAAATGATGCTTAATTTAAATATTGGACTTCATCCCCCCAACTACCCACAATTACAACTGAAAGTGAAGAGAGAAAAATTGGTGTGAAAATGGTCTGCAAGACTCGATCCTTTTCTTTAGCTTCTGCCTGTCTAGTTTTTGGTTTGGATTTTCTACAGCTCAGTTAAAATAATGTTTACTTTGGATCCATGAAACAACAGGATGAACTTGAAAATTCATCTTGAATTCAATGGCAAGATAACCTGGCCAGGTTCGCTCAAAGCTGGGCCTGACCGACAAGTTCCAGGTTTGAAGATTGACAGTCCAATTCTACACTCTGCTAAAGTAAAAGAAAAACATTCTCCCCGGGTACTGAAAATGCACTAGTCATTTTTAGAAATGTGAAGGCAAATGAAAGAACTTATTTTTCACTTCATATGTGGCTAGTATGTGTAATTTGAATTATTTATAGATCACTATTATTTAGGAATTACTCAGCTCATGCATTTCTGCACTTGTTTATCATGTCTGCCGCTTCTTTTAGAAATCATTTCTTTTGCCATATAGGATTTTCTATTGCTCTCATAGGTTATGAAACTGATAAACAATTCTGTAAGGGAGAGACACTGAAAGAGTTTTCACTCAAAGCCAACTTGCAGCCTGTTACAGCATTCACAACAAACAGACGACTTTGGTCTGGACACCCTCTAGCATTATTAATTTTATGACAATTCCTTGCAACCATCAGCAACAATGTTTTCACCAGCACTCACTCTCCTGAGATTAGAAATTGCCAATTAATGACTGCCACTAATAAATAGAATCAAGCTTTATAATGAAGGATCCAATTCTGCAGTACCAAAATCAGAGCACTTTCCTCCCAGCCGCTTCACCTTTCCCTGTTAAATGTCTGTAGCCATAATGGCTTCAATCCTAACACACAAAATGCTTACACTGGACCCAGGGGGCACTTTCATGATCACATAAGGGCTTCAGAATGGGGCTCATTTAATACATCTCCTTTTCTGGAATGCCCTTTCATCCACACTTGTCCTCAAGTGGAAGGATGAGAGAGAGAGAATAGTGAAGCCCATGAAGGACATTAGAGGATACTCTTCACATGGAAAAAATGCTGCCATATGTTCAATGGAATCAGTAAGGGGAATGTACTGGATATGAATTAAGCTATAATGTTGACTTTGTATTTATAGGATATAAGGCAAAGCATCTGAAGATCCTTACGTCACTGGATAAGCACTGTATAGCTATTTTTTGAGATGCTGGTTTGGCTGTTAGCATGTTTATTTCAGTATTAAAATCAAGAAAATAACAATTTCTTATAAAACCTACTAAATGTTTTTGAAAAGTTAAATGCAAAATGTAAACCTTTCCTTGGAGCTACCTTCCAGTGCTGGTGAAACCAGTGGGAACTCTGCTCCGACTTCTATGGCCCTCCACACTGGAAGTGGACGTTCGAGTAATGCTGCCTGGGTTTTAACTTTCCACAGGCTTTTGGGGAATATCAGACTCCCCATTTTATTATGTGCCAGGAGAAGAGAGGGTTTAAGAAACTGGGAGGAACAGCAGCAGCAAAAAATTAATAACAAACAAAAAAAGGGTTACCGTGAAACTACAGAGGCCCCCGCTAGGTGTGATGAGCCTGTGTTTTCCTCTGCAGACATGGTACTGTGTATTTGGTTGCTATTATGTAGATGATGCTTAGACCAAGCACCTACACTTTAAGGATATGCTATTCAGAGGCGCTGAATTTCTGCAATCTCCACGTCATTAGGCTGCAGCTCAAGCAGCCAGTTTCCTTGGAAAGCTGGCTCACCTAAACGTTTGTTTCCTGTGGGCCCTTAGCGATTGTAGTGCTAAATGCAGAATTATTCACACAGGCATTTATCCATGCCTTCTCTTGGAATAAAAGGCACTGAGCTAAATTCTGGGCCAGTGAGAGGAGATGCAAATCTCCTGGTTATAATGGATTCTGCCACAGGTAAATTTGACTAATTATTTTCATAAAACCGGATGAGAAAAGGATTCACATCTCAACATTTGTTGCTGATTTAGTATGTGGCATAGCAAAAGGACAGGCTAGCTACAAACTAGACAAAGCTATTAGACATTAACGTTCAGACAACACCTACCTCACTCCAAACCAGCATGGTGCCGAATATGACCTGTAACCCATCAAAGAAATTGTCTCCTATGATGATGACAGTGGCACCTCCTGTAGTCCATCCTTCACTTGGACTGATGGCTTTGATACATGGTGTAGCTGCTTTTCAACACACATGAAAAAGAGAAGTATTCTGCTGTTAGAACCAGATTTTAATGATAGAAGACTTGCAAAAAATAAAATAAAAGGAGCTTTCATTTTCCCCCCCGTACTAACACAAAGATTTTAGCAGTCACCTTCTTTCTAGTACATGTGCATGACCTCAAACTATATCTTTGGAAACATTTTTTCCACAATTAATTTCTGTTTGGTTTTTGTTATCTGCATTGAAAAAATTAACTTTTTAAAGCCTACATTAAAAAAAACCAAAAATCACCACATGATGGGCAGAGACCAATTGGAAATCAGTACAAATCCTTACCTTTATTCTATAAGAAATGTTCAATACCTGAGTTAATAAAACAATCTCCAGTGAGCTTGCTTTATTATCCATCATAACCGAAATTAATCGAGGAATGTCCTATAAATATTATGGAAAATATTGGCTAAATAAAAGAGGGTGTAAACCTCAACATTTCTTTAACTATTCTGCAATGAGATCCAGGTTGTTCTAATATTAAACCACCCTGCCCTGTTTAATGCTTTGGCTACTACGAAAAGAAAACAAACCAAACCCAAAATCAAACCAACCAAACAAACAAAAAAAAAAGAACAAAACAAACAAACAAGAACCCCTACAACCCTACCATCCAGTCATTCCAGTTACACTGCATCTACTGGATAATTAAGAAGTGTGTGCAATGCATTCTGCCATATTCATAGAGTCTGTCCCTAATTTCAATAGCCACTAAATGTCTCCTGATGGGATGCTGAATACTGCTCAAAGTAATAAGACCAAGTCTTGGTGTAAGATCTTCTGGTTTAAGTCTATTTAAGCAGAAGCACTCTCAACTTTATTGTTGGTGGTATATGGCAATATAAACAGCCACACACTGATTGTCCTTCTCTGCTGTACTGGAGTACAGCAGAATTTAACTGTGCCAAAGCAATGGGAATAACGTAACTGTAAAAATAACCTGAATAAGACAAAAAGCCCTGAGTAACTCTTAGCTGCAGAGTCTCAGGGTGGTCATATAGGTTCATGAAAAGAAGCAACTCCATCCCAAATGCCACCAACTTCTCCTTGCTAATACAGCATGTGGTGAACATACGACACATACCATTAGATAACATTTCAAGAAACTGGGTATCTCAATGATTTCATTAGCCATGAAAAACATATTCCTTAAGGAGCAGCAAAACTCCACCAATCAACCTCAATGTTGAAACACAAGATTCTTTCCTTTAGATATGGAACCAGTCCCCAGCAGAGAAGAGGCTGAGTCCACTGAAAACATGTGATGGGCTGCCATTACCCACCCTGATTCTGCAATGTCAGTCAGCAGGACTTCAGTAGTTGCATTATATATATATATATATATGCATATATACCTTTTCTTTTAGGGTTGCTGGCATTTGACTGTGAATTGCTATTTGGTTGAAAGGCTGGCTGAGATGGTAATTTGGTTTGTAGCTTTGAGTATTTGATGATGTACTCAAGGGACAGCACAGAGCACTAGATCAGGTAGGGATTTACTAGGAAGATAGGGATGTGAAAGCCACCCATATGTTAGCACCATCCAGGACAACACCCTTGCACCCATGAATTACTTAATGTGGCTGTGTAGTGCCACAGTCCCTGCCCTACAGTCTTCTAATATTAAAGACAGTAAATTAATTCATTCACAGAAGTCTACTTTAAAACGCTTCAGAAATAAATTGCTAAAGAGACCCTGTGTGTCTACATGATTATTTAGTGAAGTTCTGGTCAGTTGGAGCTAATTGCAAGAGTCAGTGAGGCTGGTGAGCAGCTCCTTCTCCCAGCCCTGGGCAGGGTGGGTAGGCATGGAGCTGGGAAGCAGGAGGGAGCTGGAAGAGGAGCTGTTGAGTCACCCTTAGCAGCGAGTGTTTCCGTGGCCATTGCTACAAACTCGCACCACCCGTGATGGAACGCTTGCATGGGAAGCAGACAGACCCCGTCCCTACCTACAAAAGGTTGTAAGTGTCAGGCACAAACTTTTCCACTGCTTAAGCTGATGGGGATGCCAACTCCAGTGAAAAACACAAACACAGAGGCAGGAAAAAATCATTACCTCACTCCAAACTCGGCAGAGCACAGCCATTAACTTTTACATGAGCTAACAAAAGAAACATCCTCACATTACCGTCACGAACATGTAGCGCGCACACAGAAGTAACAACAATATGTTTTATTTGGATTCAAGATACTTGCATAAAACTGCACATAAAACCCACTGCAAAGTCCAAAACCAAATGCTTTCCTTTCAGCCAAGCTCACAGCAATGGATTTACAGTGAAAGCAGCTTTTCAAAATGCCATCTAGCCCTTTCACAAAATCAAACTCTTTCATAAATAAGAATTAAAATCACTTCCAAATTACACCCTTTCCAGTATTTCCAGTTGATTGTGGACACACACACTCCACAATAAAACCTGAAGATAATCAGTTTCCCATGTGTCAGAGAATGAACTACTTTTCTTAAAAGCTACAAGCAACATTTTTTCCTAAATACCAGTGAATAAAAATGGTTTGAGACCATAAGCCATTAACAGAAAACATATGCAGGCTTCAAAATTATAGATTCAATTCATCTTTAAAATGAATGCAAGATACTGTTCTGCAGTTACAGGTCCCCAGTAAAGGTATTGCTATTTGTCTTGTGATGTTCTTTGCAGTACCTACATTGCACTCCGAAGTGTCACTGAGGCTGCAGTGTCAGTGCTGCCTCATGCATTTGACTCCGATACTTTATACATCTATGTGCTTAATATTAAACACATGCCAAGTCCCATGGCAGCCAGCGGGACTTCAAGCAGAAACCCAGGTCCTTGGGGCTGTGGGTTGCTCACTGGGACACTCTCACCTGCAAAGTCAATGTGACCACTCACACGTGTAATTTCATTTAAATACGCAGCAATTGTGCTGAATCAGTGCCTCACCAAAACTGCTGGCAATTGCCCAGGGCATCTCCTCTGAGGAGGAAAAGTCAGGACTAGATGGTTTAATAAGCAGGGCAGGTTGGTACCCTTTGCAGGCAATAGCCAAGAAGCAGCAAGAGCACTGTGCATTCCCAAAAGATTTCAGGGCAGCATTTTCCCTTGGGATCAGCCACAATAGCTGATCAGACTTCCCAACTTCCCCCAGACAGCTTTCTCTTATGTTAAAATACAATTGTCTGTAAAGACTGGAAGGGCAGCACGAAGGTGCTGCTCCACAAGGGAAGCTGCGCTGAAGGGCTGCATCCCGAGGCAGCCTGAGGAGACGTGCTGAGGGAGGCATCCAGACTGCTACCTGTTTTTGAAGGCACAAAACATGTTTATACAATGACATATTTGCAACAGTGAGTGTCATTGGGACATTGGTCTTACTAAAACTTTGACCTTCCAGGCCCTTTCCATGGAACACCAAGAAGAAGGATGGAAGAATCGGGTCCCATTTGCCAGCATCACCACAGGTAATGTTGGGAGGGGGCAAGGCAATGACCTCAGCTCTATTTATGGCTTGGGTACAAATGTCTGGCCAACTCAGGCCCTCAGCTCTTCATATTTCTTCTGTTAATCATTTGGCAACTTTCAAAGCGCTGTCTGGAAGGTGTTTACTTCTGTGCAACCCTAGAAAAACAGAGCTAGGCAGAATAATCTTTTCATTGGAGACTTTGGCTTTTCTGCATTTTGTTTTGGTCACAAGAGGAACCAAAGTACAGGACAGTTTTTTGCAGAATGCAAAGTTCCAGAATCTCTATCTGAAATTAACTACAACACTTTTTAATATTTCCATGAAAAAAATATTTTGATTCAAAATTTTATCACTTCATTTGCCCTTTTGTAACACCAAAACACCATTTCTAAAATAGTGTTTTTAAAACAAATATTAAAAATTTACATAAAATTTATGTTTTTCTGCAGGAAAAAAAGAGATTTTAGTTGAAGCCTGAAACTTCACTGATTAAAAAAATGCAGTGAAGGACTTTAGGCCAGTTCTAATAAAGGCAATGAAGGGTACATGATTGATAACATGAACAGACTTTAAGTCCGGAGAATAATAATAATAATAAAAAAGAATAATTACACATTCATACACATACAATTTTTTTTTTTTAAATGAACAGCCGGTAGCCAATAACAACCAGAACCAAAAGAGTTTGGTAGCCTACCTATCAGAGAAGATTTTCAGACGCTTTGGCCTGAGCATATTACATTCACTGCATGTTTCCAGAGCAGTTGTTGGACTGAGGAAAAACGACGCATTTCACCACCAACTGCAGGCACGGACCTTGCCGCTCCTTGCTGAAGGTGATGCGGCCACATCCTCCACCTGCTCAAACGGCCTAACGGTTATGAGTCTTAATGAGCTGCTCTCCCTCTTTGCATAATATCAAGGCAAATCAGCGTTAACATCTGACATGTTTCATTGTGCTGCTCCTGCGGTTTGAGTTAACAGATAGAGATGTTAGAGGGAGGCAGTGCAATCCCAAACTTATCAAAGCCAATGGGAATTTTGCCACTGGCTTCAAAACTACGGTCTCTGTCGATAATTTTTGAGGATTTATGAGCCAAAACCTTAATGACTTTCAAGAGAAACAATGTTCTTCTGAAATCTTCATCTTTTCTTGGAATATACATCGTTAAAATCTCATCACCTCCCATGCAAAGGGTGGTTGGTACCAACTTCAGCACACGGGTAGCAAGAAGGAAAGTTGTTTGTTGTGTGCTGTGTATGTCAGTGTGTTCCTGTGTTCTTGTACTCCCCTAGCTACTGATATACAGGGGATTTTTCTTCCTTCAAACTGTGACAATAAAATGATTACCCCGCCACAGTTTAGCATAATGGTTCAGAAATGCTCGTGGCATATTGCAGAGTTAAAGTGGAAATTATTAGGTAGCTCTTCTTTGTTATAATAATGATCACTCCACAAATAAAAGCTCTTCTCCCAAAGGTACTGCAAGGCACAAAATGCTAATTCTGAAGATTATGTGTG